GATGTTTGAGAGCTCATAAAAGTCAGGCAGAAAATAGCAACCCAAGTTCCCTCACAGAAAGAATGCAGAAAGTTATTGGACTTTGCTCATTCACACAATTTGACAGTCCTTGGATTGGATGAGGGGTGATGTGTAGTTCTAATCAGGTCCAATAATCTGGAAATACACAAGATACACATTGTCTACAATGGAGATAAATGAGATGTTGCATTAACATACATTTATTGCTACTGTATTAAGAGAGAGGGCATTTCTAAAGGCAGTCAAGAAAAAAACTGTGCTTGAAATGAAGAGCCCATGTTGTATGCAGTAGAATAAATAACTTTCCAAAATAGCAGACTATAGCAATGGCAATGAATGCAGAATCTGATGATGAAGTATTCTGGTAGTTGTAGCCCTAGTAATATTTTTCTCTTCGGAGGTATCCAGCAACAGATCAAAAGGATAACACCAAATATATAATAGTGTGCCATAAAATAGCGCCTTTTAGTGATTGCTAATGAAGTAATTAAAAGAAGTAGAACATTGACTCTGATCTTAAACACTTTGTCTGGGAATAAGCTACATTGACATAAATGAGATTTCTTTTCATCTAATTTGTTTACAGCATTAGACCCGCGACAGTTACTGTATTCTACTCTGTAGCAATATATAAATTATATATGCAGTACAAAGTAATAAGAAGGACAGTCTCCTACTATTCTTTTAGTCATTAAAAAAAGCCCCTTCAGTTTGTTCTGTGGTAGTAGAAATCCATTTATCCATGGCTGTGGCTCTCCCCCAACCCCTAACCCCCATTTTTTGCCCATTAAAAAAAAATCCCCAGGGAGAAATGATGGTGAACTGAAGTGTGTAAACAAATTCAAAAATGCAGCCGATGACTTAGAGTACCTTCCTCCTCCGCTCCACTTAACTTGTTAAGGAAAACAGCGTTTCACGTGACCCTTCGCTTGTTATGTGTCGTCATTCCAAGTGAGGTGCGCGCAGCTCTCCCTGTCCCATCCCCGCGCTCTTTGCACCAAAACAACTCCAGCATTCTAGAATGCGGCAACATCTCATGACGTCACTATCCCAGACTTTTAATCAGCACCAGGACAGCTGCCAGCCTCTGCGTCTCTATCGGCCTTTCAGCTTCTAACAGGGCAGGACTGTGAATGTTTAGTTTTCCCTCTTTGCGCCTGACAGTTAGTTCTCTTCCAAGTTGCCAGATGCCACGTTTATTCAGCGATGTCCTTGCCTCTTCTAGGCAGCAGAGTGCGCCATCGCCTAGTTAAGTCCTTTGCACGCTGTCGACCAAAATTAGTTAAGCTGGAGTGCAAAGCGAAAGAAAACTGCTACTCCCGTAGGGCAGTATGGCTTCGTTTTAGCAGCTCAAGGGCAAGACTGTCTCTCTCAAGCAGTTCCGAGAGGCTTTCTTCCTTATTAAGAAAGGCACAATCAGAGTGCTTCCGATTGCACAGGGGCCCCTAAGGTAAATCTCCCTACTAGCCTCCCACTGGGACATCTTGATTGAGGTGGATTGGGGGGTTATACCCAGAGAGGGGAGAGGATGGATGGATGAGAGAGCAGCAGTTGACTCCTACGTTGGAAGCTGCGAGGAAGTTGCTGAATGTTAAACATAACAACGACAAAATAAAGGGTCCTTAATCTGACAGCAGTCCCGGATTTTTAAAAATGGTTTTAAATGGGTTTAAGGTCACTAGCTCAGATGATGTCAACATCCTTCTTTTCTAACCAGCGGTTCATTGGGAAGACTCGGGCTCCCCCTTCCCCTGACAAAAATTAGGCAAACTGATAAGGGGTGGCATTGACCAAAAGTTCCTTGTTGGACAGTGAAGAGATGTTTCGGTATGGTGTAGTGCAGTACTAAATAAAAGAAGGAGGTGAGTTCAAACTAACATCACTTTGCCACTCACAAGTGGTAGAAATCAGCCTGCGACTGAAAATCACAATGGGGGGGGGGGTGACTATCTGAAGTCTTCTCAATGCCTTGGTCATTGTAGGGAGGAGACCCTTTTAAATAATCTCTGTATGACTTCTGTTTCTCTTCCACTCTTTACTAAAAAATGTTATGGTCTTTATATCATTTTAACCTTGTTAAATACTCGTCAGTTGGGTGCATCACAATTCGAGCACTGTTGTTTAGGATATGGAAATGTGGGGTAGGGGAAGAGACGATTATACATTTCCAAAATGCATTGCTCAACGAATCTGAAATGCAAGGAAACCTCCAATACAATGGGAAGAAAATAAGGCGGGGTTCCTTTTTCGACTAGCTGAGTGTTCACAACATTAAGGGAGGTGACTGAAGACGCGATGGAGAACTTTCTCTCTCTGTGTGTGATAAAAATGTAATGTCTAAGCGGAGATCTGCCCCTCAGATGGATTGTTAATTCAGATTTGTTACTCCAAACTAACTAACTTCAAACAAACTTACTGAAAATCAGGCTTCTTTATTTAATATAATTATTACTACTTCTAATGCAAAAGGCAAATTTCCTCTGTGTGATCTGCAGCTTCTTTACTCCAGCGTTGTTTTAGAGAAGTGGAGGGACTGCTCCGAAGTAAATGGATCACGGATCATTGGGAGTTAAATCCTACTGACATCCATAGGCCTATTTTGAAAGGAGATGGTTTTGGATTTTGCAGCAGAAGCCCATCGCAATTCTTTCACAGGCAAACATCTGGGGCAGAACTGCCATGGGTGTGTTTAGGATTTACTCCTGAGGAAGTGCGCGGGGGATTAGCAGGTTGGCAGCAGATAGATGCAGCGAGAGCGAAAAGGATGCCTGACTAAAATGGCTGTTTTCGCAAGATAGGCCCCACTCGCCTTTTCTTTCTGTGAGATTTTTCTCTTTTCCTGCACCAACCAGCCTCCAGCTGTGCTTGCAGAATCGGGATTTTCTAGTGTTCCGGTTCAGATACCAAGCGGGTAATCCGCTTTCCCGTATTTTAATCCAGATTAAAGAACAGCGTGTCCTAGAGGCACCTGGCCTTCCATTACCTGATAGCTGTTTCGCTGTTGCTGCAGCCTCGCTCAGGCCCTACTCTGGGGCTGTAATTCGAAAACCGAGGCTTTGCGCCAAAAGCTACAGTACCGATTCCAGCCCAAAAAAGAGGAAATAGACGTGAATTGAAGGGAACTGTTTACCAACCGGCAATTTACTCTTACCAACGCGGTATGCTACCATTTATATTGTCCTGCCAAGTGGTGGTGAAAATCTGAGTACACCTGGTCCGAAATCCTCCCTTATCCTGGTAGCATAGGACCCGCTTATCAAGTGGTTTCATGGGCGTATTTTTTTTCTCCTATTAACTCATAATTAGGCGTATTTGAGAGTTAATAGCCACACTTAGATTAAATGTCTGTCCATAACTAGCCTGCTATGTGCATATCACTCGTTTTCAGGAAAGAGGTGGTATCCTTCTTTGAATATATTGGTAGCTGCACAAGACTTTCACCTCTTCCTTTGTATAAGGAAACTACATCTATTTAATAAATTTTGAAAACATTCTAGATATCCGAATAATCTTAAGAAATCTTGAAAGTCGCTCCCTACATATAAATATATATATATATCCATGAGGGATATATCATTAAGTTCATTAGGATGTGAATTGCAGCCTACTGTTTTGTGGTAGAGAATACTAGATCGTGAAACCGAGTGCTACAGTCGAGTGTACCTAAATCTATGGAGAGCATTCGTGCCACTGTTTCGTTAATAAATATAAGCTACAGTCAGCGTTACGGGCAAAATTGACTTCAGCACCGTGGACAGCGGTCATGTTCTGCCCGTTTCCAGTATGCAGACAGTGATGGTTTGCCTCCCTTTGTTCACCCGCGGTTTTAGGCCCAGGCTAAACAAAGACAGCCATAAAAATGGATGCTCAAGGGCCACATCACCCACCCACTCTAGCACCGCTCTCTTTACCGAAATGCTCTGCAGATACTGTATATTACACCACTTTTTTAAAAAAAGGCAACCACGATATTTTAGCTTTCACCCCGCAGACAGAAACCTAGGGATTCTCCAGCTTTATGCCATCTTCAGCTTACCACCATCTCGTGGAGAACAATACTGAGAAACCGAAGTATCTCCCCGCAGGACCTTCTCTAACTTGACGCAGATTACACGAGATGAGTGTATAATCAACAAACATAGCGATGCCATCATATTATCAAATGAATTTATTTTTTATCCGACGCCTTTACATGATTTAGGCAAGAAGCTCTGGAAAAACAACAACTGTGAACCTACCTGTGATGGGTAAGAGACATCCTGCTGCACCTTTAATGATAAGGCAAGGAATCTAGAGGAAATGGGGCGCCCGACACCACACAAATAGGACTAGCGCCTTAGATGGGAGTAGAAGAATTTGCATTGGCTCGGGGCTTTTCTAACCCTGTCTGTGGGGGGGGGGTGTCAAACCAGCTCTTCCACGGTGTCTTCAAGCTCCGCTCTTGGCATTCACCGCGTGCCTTAATTGTATGACATTAAATCAAGGTCCGCTGTGAACACGGAGAGGCAAAGCCTCGGATTTGTCACGTTCTCTCTGCAAACAAAATGGCAAGCGACCTTTAAGATGAAAGAAGGCAAAGCAACCCCCGCCCTCATCTTCAGCGCACCTCCCCCCCCCCGCACCCCGCTTTATGCTCCGGGCCTGGCTTTAAATTCGAGGCCGCTTCCTTAGCCCATCTGCCAGTTCCACCAGGCAAGAGTCTGCTTAAAGATTGCCTCGAACGCCACCTAGTTAAGCTGCTCTAATGTAGCGAGCTCGTTTTCCCCCTCTTTAATTTCTTAAGACCACAGAATGACACGGCTTTGCGCTGATTGCTCCTGAAGAGGAGAGGATTTCGCCTGCCCTCCCCTCTCCCATCACACGAGCCATTCCTGCGCATCAGGGACATTTAAGCATCTCCATCCTTTCTCTGTTAAAGGAGGGTTCTGGATATCTACCCTATATAAACATATCTTAGTCGTGTAGCGCGATGTGCGCCAATGAGAGAGGCAGGATGCGTGTCGACTTGCTTTGTAAAGCGGAAAACATTAACTCGAGAGCACCTGCCCATTCCCGGGAGAGTTAGGACAGCCCATCTGGTTTGGCTACAGGGACTGTGCCGTAGGAAGTGGAAGAGGAAAGAGGAGGAGGAAGAGGAGGAGGAAGAGCGAGACAACTCAACAACAGAAACACGGCTACGGTTAGGACTTGGCAGCGTTTCAACGGGCGTCAAATCCGCAGTGGCTCTGAACTCTGGAGGACTTCTGCAAGGACGCTGGAACAGGCCATCAGTGATCAAAGAAACCAGCCCGAAACCTGGACAGATCGACCTCTGCCCACTGGCGCCTCTGAAGTTTCGCCTGAATGCCTTTCGCTCAACTGCTGCGACGCTCTACTCAGATCCCAGTGGAAATGGGTGGTTAAAGGACGTGGCTTTCTTCTCCCAAGTCTTCCGTGGCTGGTGGCATCGGACTCCGGAGCAAGCGGGCGGAGGGCAGGTCGCGCCCCGGAGGCCTTCTGCGTCATACCCCCGGTGTCCTAGGAAAGAGAAGCAAAGGCGAAGAGGTTAAGGGGGGGAGGAACCGACGCCTGAACTTTACGGCTGTCCGACGGCCGAAAATGACAAAGGCAGCTGAGGTAGGGGGGAGGTTGTGGGGGATTTAAATAAGCAGGAGGGCAAAGCAAGAGGAGGAAGGGAGGGTCTGCCCCGTCTGAGGAGGAGAGAGGCTGGAGTTCCCTCCTAGCCAAGCAGCAGGAGCAATCCGGATACAATCCGGATCCATTCGGAACGCAAGCAGCACAGTTCCTACTGCTACTAGGACCGCGGGATCGGCCCCAATGACAGCCCCGCCAGCTACAAAGGACGTTGCCGGAGCTCTGCCTCGGATCCAAGCGGCGTTAACCCTTTACTTTCTCCCCGTGCAAAACAAAACAAAACAAAACAAAACAAAACAAACAAAAACCCAAACAAAATCAAAACCGAGGGAGGCATTAATCCACCATGTGGGAATCGCAACAAAGTAATGTATTAAGGCGCGCGCGCGCGCAGGCACACGAAAAAAGGTTACCCTTCCCCCCAGTTACACACAACGCCCCCCCCCCTTACTCAAGAAACAGAGGAAAATCCATCGATCGCCTTCAAACCTTCAGCGAGCCTGATCTCTCCGAATGTCGCGGAGAGGCAGCCAGCGACCTCCTTTTCTTTCTGTTTATTTTTTTCCGGGGGGAACTTGGTTCAGAGCGGTCCGGTGTGCGTGTGCGCGCCCCTCGCTCGCTGCTCCAGAATTAGGGATTAATGGCTCTCCAGCCAAACAAATAAGGCATCTGCCTCCCGTACAAGAGGATTACACGGGGCTGCTGACGTCACCAGGCAGGCAGATGTTGGCTCCCAAAGTCCTGATCATCTCCCCGTGTCCTTGAAAGCAGCCCCTGCGCTCAGCCAGCAGCGAGTTCGAGCCCCAGCCGGAGCTCCTGCCCCCGCCCCCGGCTGCCTGGGGGTCTGCTGGGACCAAAAGCCCGACTTAAGTCCCCGCGGAGAGCATCTCCCGCTTCGCCCTTCTTCACGGTCCACCTTTTTTCCGGGCTGAAAGCCTCTCTGACGCCGCCTCAGCTTCGACCTCGCTTCGCTATGACAGCCCCATCCGGCGCCCAATCTCTGCCCAAAGGAGAGGCTAGACCTCCCCTCGCGGCCTCCATCCGGCCCGGAGGACAAGAGGACACCCTGCTTTCCACAGAGCACAGATCCTGCCCACCCCCTCACCCGCAGCCCTGCTCCGGTTGCCACAGAGTGTCCTCATTTACCAGCAACAGAAGGCTGTCTCGAGCTCCCAGCCTCTCTTGCCCCCACCCCTTCCATGAAATGAGAACAGATTTGCTTTAAATACTCCAGGCGCAGGAGAGAGGAGGCGGGGGGAGGGGCAGGGAGGGTTGATCGCAGCTAAGTCTGCATTATATAAAATCCAGAGTCCTTCCTCATCGCAACGAGGAGAAGGGGGGGGGGAGCGGCGGGGGGAGGGGGAAGAGAAGAAGAGTTTTGCCCAGTAATTAATGCAACTGCTGTAGATTCTCTAGATTACTGCGGAAGGATTATAGGACGTTCTTCTCCTCTGTGTACCAGCAAGCTGGTGGAACAAACTTGGAATTGGGTGAATCCACACATGCAGGCACACGCATCTCAGCAGACAAGTCGGGGTTTGTTTTGTTTTGTTTTTGTTTTGTTTTCACTCTTTGGCAAAAGGAGAACCCAGAGCACCCAAACATCAGCATTTAGCCACATATTGTTTTAGCATCCATGGTGCGTCTCAAAATTCCCAACACTTCTTAGCGAGGATGATACAGAAGTACGAGGTGTAATAATAAAATCAGAGACCTCACCCCTAAGGTCATTTGGTTGTCAGGCAGCCGGCTGACTTCCCAAGAGCTGACACGCACGCGGTAGTTAAGGTGGTACAGGGTTGTCTGTCTGCAACCGCCCACAGAGGAAGGACCGATGCGGATTGAGGGCGAGCGCCTCGGAGGCGCGATCCACAAACCTCTCGCTCCGTTGACTTGCGTGACACTGCGCCAGAGTCAATGCGGGCGGCCTGGTGGATTGTCAACACCCAAGTAAATCCTCCAAAGTTTTGGGCCAAGTTCCTTCAACTGCTTATTCCAGAGGAGGTCAGAGCTGCAGCCCTCCTTTCGCAAATCAACCCCCCCCCCCAAAAAAGCGGGGGTGGGAGGCGAAACCATCTATTTGCTTTCAGGAATCCAGGGAAGAACAGCAGTGTCCTTTGTGGCTGCGGTGCCGACACAGTCAAGATAAGGAGTCGCTCTGCTGCTGAGAGATGGAAATGGCAGTCTGTCTCTTTTGCCTCTCTTGAAGGCCTTGTACCGTTAGCTCGTGTGACAAATAGCCAGAGAGAGAGAAAGACTTGGATGGAAACTTCGGGGTTTGGTGTTGTCTCTTTGTGCGGGTTCTAGAAGGCCTGAGAAGGCTTTAAAAGGCTTGAGAAGGCTTTAAAAGCCTGATTTGAACCGAAGAGTAACGCTTTTTGCCTTCAAGCCACGACTGTTGCTTTGCTTTCCTCTAAAGTCGATGACTCATCAGCTCAGTCTCTCCGAATCAAACAATGGTTTCAATCACTCCAGTCCGACAACTAGGCAAAACTCGACCTTCGTGTCCCTTGTGTCATGAGAAGAGCAGATCGCCAATACAGAAGGCGGGGGGGGGGGGGAGGGGAGCGAGGCTGCCTTTCCTCTTGCGCTCTATAGATCGTTCCTGTGTTATCTTTGTCTGTCAGTGTGGCATTTAATTTTTCCAATCGGGGAAGTTGGCCGCTGATAAAATCAATTTAATTTATACCAGTGTCACTCAGCTAATGGAAGAACTGAACTGTATCTTTTCTTTTGTCTTAGAATTCGAAAGGATACAGAAACACACACACACAAGCGCTTTCTTTGGCTGGTGACAAAAAAAATGTGTGTGGTTTTGTAACTGCTTAAGAATGGTCTTTGACGGCTTAGTCTGCAGTGGGGCATGGCAGAGGTGCTTCTGAACGGTTTGACACATTATACAACTGTATGAGATGGGATGGGGGGGGGGCGACACGCAGCACAGACGTTCAAGAAAGGCAGTTCCACCAAATGCCTGCTTGGAATGATGGCCTCCAGGACGATAATATTGATATTATTATTCCATCGAGATAATCCTACTTTAATATCCGTTCGCTGTCCATGGTTTTGATCTCTATGACGAGCGATAGAAAGGGGTCCATTTTAACGCATGCACATCGCTTTGCTTTCCACAGTTTCGATTTATTTATTTTTGTTTTGTTTTAGCAGGCTGTCATAAGGCGAATTTTTTTTTTAATGCTACATTTCTCCCTGATAAATTCTTGTTTTCTTAACAGTAACATTGACATTAAAAGGAAAGGTTTTATATAATAAATACTGTCTTAGCCAACAGAAAGTGAATAATTTTTTAAAAACTTATCATGGGCGTTCCTGTTGTTTTAGTAAAGCTGTAGATTACAGTACGGATTTCAGCAGGATGTAGGGAGTGTAGAGACAGAGACGCACAGAGATTCATTGGTTGGTCAGTGGAAACCACTTTTCTGCTTCTTGTCTATACGAAACACTAGTGCAGCAATGTCTAACAATTATACACGACTTCGATACGAATATAAATAAAATGCGTAAAAAGAGGGAGTAACAGAACTGAAAAGAATGATCGATTCTGGAGAAGTGGAGCCTTTAAAAAAAAATTATTTTAAAAATTGCTACAACAAATTAAACAACCCAAAGCATTTTAAGCAAAAAAACATATGCACACAGATTTCGATCTTAATAAATCACTTATTTCTGCCAGGATTTCTACAACTTTACGAAACCGGAAGGACAATCTTCCGGATGGTCATTATTTCCGCACAGCAGAATATCTCCTTTTTTGCAGTATCTTTCGAGTCCGTAACAATTAACTGAAAACAGCAGCAGCAACAGCAGCAACAACAAACCCGTTTCCATATGCACGGACTGTGTGCCATTTATTGGCTCTAAGCGTTCAGCCTCCTATTGAAAATGAAAAACGGCACACAGCGGTGAACTGTTGCGATCAAAATTCCCCCACACCAGGCGGAGCGCAACGTCTGAAAAAGGAAAAGCATCTTATTCTGCCCCCCCCCACCCGCGCCCTCCTACTATAGGACGATGCTTTCTCTGAGTTAGCTCCCAGTCTGCCCTAGGAAACTGTGATCTTCCGCTTGGGTGATATGGGGCGAGACTCAACCCGAGACTCTTTCCCCATGAACAGGACAGATGGCTGCCTCGCAGCCCCGCTCGTCTCCAAGGCGGGCCGGCTGAGTTTTGCGCATGGGTCACCATCGTGGAAGAAGCAGGGCCGGCTCAGAGGCATGCATGGGCGTCTTCCGCACTGACAGGAGGAGGAAGAGAACCAGAGGGCGAGATTTGCAGCTCTCCAGCGAGTGAGGGGCTCCTTTCAAAGGACCAGTGGGGTTTAGGAGAGGGATGCCTCTTCTCTCACTCTCCTCCCTCCTTCCTTCCCTCCCAGAAAAGCCCGGCCTCAGCACAATGGCCCCTCGCCATTTTCCCCGGGCATCACAGCACAAAGCCGCGGCGCGCAGCTTCAGCACCACACAAAGGAAGGCCCGTCGGAAGGCTTTCACGCTGCCCTTCCGCCAGCACCGCCACCTTGGAAATTGTCCCCACGGAGAGAGAGATCCCGGGGACGCGCGCGCCCACACCAGGGTGGGCGAGCGGGGAGGGGGCACCGACCGAGGCGGCCATTGATCTGCCTGGGTTTTAGGGGAACCTCACCAAAGCGGCAGAGAGAAAGAGAAAGCGGTGGTGGGAGGGAGGGAGTCCTGAAGGCGGGCCAGCCCCGTGCAAAAGCAAGCAAGCAAGCAAACAAACAAAAACACGCATTATTACTGTTACGATTTTGAATGGTGGCGTCCCAACCGAAAGCTGAACTCCCTCTGCGCACCCAAGCCGGCAGGTCTCTCCAAGCAGCCGCGCACCACTCGGCTCAGCAAGCGCCTCTGAGCGCCCACCGATCGGGCAGCAGCCGTTGGTTTTCTGCCCGCCTCCACCGACGCCCCCCCACCCCCACCCTGTCGGGTTATAATCTCCCCAGGCAGACCTCGACTTGCCCATCTGCTACTCGGCCCCAGACGGCACGTGAGGGGGCTTACTCTGCCGCCGCCCCGCCCCACAACCCGCGGGCCGCGACTCTCGGGCCTTTCGTGCCGCCCCCCCCGCCTTCCCGTTGAATTTGCCTCCTGGCCGGAGAGGCAACCCCCAAAGCCCCGCGACGGCCCGGGTTGTGCCAGTAACGCCTCTTGCAGCGGTACTTACGGCAGTCAGTCAGGCTAGGTGGGAGAGGGAGAGAGAGGGAGCTGCTGGTAGTCCCAGTAGCCAGAGGACGAGGCGCGTCCGTCCGTCCAGAGTGAAGGTCTGCAGAACAAGAGCCGGCCCGGCACCTTTGGCCGGGAAGATGCACGTCGCTGTCCGCTTGACATCCAGCCGGGAAGCGGAGCCTGCTCGCCTCCCCGGCTGCCCGCCCGGCTTGTTGGCTGCGCTGCTGCTGCTGCTGCTGCAGCGCCGCCTCGCTGTTCGCCCCCTCCCTCGCCCCCTCCTTCCTCTGGCGCGCACCCGGCGTCCCTCATTCCTCTCCGCTTCCAATAGAGGGCAGGTCGCTTCCTGCATCCTAATCAGCGGCATCAGGCCTCGGTTCCCACTTCGCAGGCACCTCTTTAGCAACCCCACGGGGGCTGCTGCAAGCACAAAAGAGCAGCTCTGGCCGCTGCCTCCAAGATGTGTTACATGGCCGCGGCCTGTCCTCCATGCGGGTCGCTTTCCACCACCGCCACCACCCTCTCCTTCTCCCTCCCTCCCTTCCCATCTCTCTCTGGCATAATGAAATCATGGGTGTCTGCCTCCCCCTCTGAAAAAGATCAAGTCAAGTTGGAGTGGTCGGAAAATTGATCGTTATGCGCGCGCGCGCAGGCAAGAGATCTGTGTAAATTGCTGAGCGCGCCCCCTCCACCTCGGACCTCCCTCACCCTACCCCGCATGCTCCCCGCATCCCGCAAAGGCCACACAACCCTACAATCCGCACAATTACTTTCCCGTACAGTCCGGAGAGCAACAAAATCTCTCCGAAAGGATTACAGGCATTTTCCAAAGGGGAAAAAGGAAAAAAAGAGGACTTTAATCTTAAATAGAAGGGGTGCGTGTTTGTCAACAAGATATTAGATTCCAAACACATATCCAGGATTATAAATATATTTATTTAATCTAGTCACCCACAAACGTAGCATTGCAATCAAACAGCGGAGCTCAGCTTTTGAGATTTATGTCTTGCACATTCACGCAGAGCCCCACGCAGTCTTTATATTTCAATCGCTTAAGGAGGTTGCTGTTGTTGTTTTTAAAAATTGCGCTCTGTACCTTTTAAAGGAAAACACGCATATGTACATAATGAGGGGGACGTTTTCCCCTTTAAAAACATTAATCTCTTATTTATTGAGAACCACAGACATTTACTGAACGAGCACGTTTTAGTCAAATATAAGGGGATTGTTTTTGTTGTTATTATTAAAAAGGCAAGATTGATGTACAGTATTGAGCCATAGTAACACACATACACGCAGAAAAGACACGTGCACTCAAGGCAGAGGTAAGGGCGCCTTGCGCTGAGCGCCTAGGCACAGCCCCCCTCCTCCCGCCCGCCGGCTTTTCGGAACTGGAAGCTCTTCCCTTTGCGGATTATTCCCCCCCAATGCCGATTGACCGCCTGCCTTGCTAATGTGGAGGCAGGGAACTCCGGGGCGGGAGAGTCTTCTGTCAACAGGCAGGGAAATGAGATGCTAAAAAGACTCCGGTGTAGTTCCTTGGGCATCGAGGAGCTTCCTGAAGCGGGCTGGCCTTGGGGCGGGGGGAGACAAGGAAAGAAGACTGGCAGCAGCAAAGAGCTCTGGGGCTGTCAATGTTTCCAAAGCAAGCCTTCTTTCTGTTAATAATGCGCATGACCCTAAGGAAGGGCAGTGCATGCCTTTCCTCCCAGGCTGGTCCATTGCGTAGGATAGGTCACCAGGGAGATGTCTCTCTCCCCCCACACCTTGGGAGGGGTATCTCTAAGCCTTGGTTATATAAAGTTTCCCCCTTGGTGCTTTCTTTGCCGCCACCCCTCCCGTCAGCAGATTCCAACTGTCCTAGCTCAAATGGGTCCTAATCCGACTCTAGGGGAGATTAAAGAGCCAGAGATAGCTGTATTTAGGATTACCAAAACGAAATGAAGGAATCTAATCCTCCACCTCTCTCTTTCCCCCACCCCTTCTCTCCCCCCATGTATTTTCTAGTTTTAGTCATGATTTCTCTCTGTCTTTCTCTCTCAGACCTCATGTTACCTTTGGGTGTTTTTTTAAATAAACGACATGAAATACTTGGGAGGAAGGGAGACGCGGCTAGACGGATCTCGAATGGCGCTTATGCTTATGGCTTGGTGGAAATTCACTGGGTCAAGCCACGCCGGAAGACAACTGAAGGTGATGGGTTAAGAAGGGACGGGTCGCCAAGTGCCCCTGGATCTCCGAGGGGAGATTATAGTTCCTTCGAGTTCTTCGCCACGTGGTAGAAACTGGTTAATAGCGAGCATCCAGCTGTCCGGACTACCTAAGGCCTAACGGAAAGATACGAGGAAAGTGGAAGCGATCATATCTTCTATTAAAAACACTTGGCGTGTAGGAAATGGTTCTGTTCTGATAGCAATGCACAGCCCTTTCCGGAGATACTAGCCCAAATAAATTAAAATAAAATGGAATTAATATTAGGGGCTTGCATTTTTTTCTCCTTCAAACAAATGAGAATAATATTCACCTAGAACAGTACATCCAGATCGAATGGGTTTTGATGGTGTGGGGGACAGAAGTGTGCAGTGTCAGAGACCAAGTTGGGTGTGTGCGTTGTGGAGGAAATAGTTGGAATATTGTTGAAAAATTCTGCCTGGAGATTAGGACTCCTTTTTGGCTGTCAATAATCTCCTCGTGGAATCAGTAGCGAAGCCTCCCATGAATTCTACGGTTTCTGGATCTGCAGCAGTGGTGTAGTGGAATATTTCATTTTAGAGCAGGGGCTGTGACGTAATCTCCTGGAGCGATTGCTTCGTGTCTTGTAGTGATGATGTAATCTCTTGAGATGATGATGCTATCTCCCCGGGCAATTTCCCGCGCCCCAAGAAGCTAAACTAAGGAAGAGGCTGGTTACGTTGGCATAGCTGCGGGTTAAAGGTTAAACTGCCCCTTTTAATTTGAAACATCCCAAAAAAGAAAGAAGTCCTTTTCATTATGACCAAGCTTTTGAGTCCTCCAGAGCTCCTCATTAGGCTGTGTTAAGCCAAGTGGGAGTGAGATTAAAACCTGACTTGGTCTTGATACCACACTGTCTGCACTGGTCAAAGTTGGTATCGGTTTGTCTAGGGCGCGGCTATGGGGACTTTACTGTGGGGACACGAAGAGCGCCTGCACTTCAGAATTTGCCGCTGACTGTGAGCTGCCCCACTTTGAATTCCAGGCCAGCTCCATTGCTTATAGTTCCTTATAGTTCCTAGTTGCACTGCAACCCAGCCTACGTGACCGGTGGTGGGGATTTGAACGAGTTTCCCGTCCCCTTATTCCGAGGCAGCTCCTATAGCTCAGTAGGAGGCAGCTCCTATAGCTTCTACAGCAACAGCCAGCGAGGCATTTCTCCGGACAGGGCCGCGCTAGGGGGCGGGAGAACAGCGCTCCGAGTCCAAGGTGTTCTTTGTGATTTCGTCACAAGGGACATTAGCATATCAATGGGGGAGAGGAAGAACTACGCGCGGGGGAGTGAGTGGACGCCTTGGCCCTCCCTCTTCCCTTCCTTAGCTTTGCGGTGGATCTCCAAGCCATCCAATCCTAGGCTAGGCTAAAAGTGCAAAGAAAGGCAACGTGTGTGGACCACCAGGTCCATCCCTTTGTCTCCCCAGCCCTTTTGGCGGACAGAAACCATAAGCACCCCCGGTCTCTTCCCACACTCGGGTCCCCAAGGCACCCTTAGACACTCCAACCCCCACCGCACACTTTAAAGCACACCCACCCAAAGAATGGGAGGAACTGTAGTTTCTTAAGGGTGCTGGGAATTGTAGATCTCCCAGGAGCAAACTACAGTTCGCAATTTAGGAGGGAGGACGTGCGTTTCAGTTCTTCCTTGGCGGCTTTGGGAAAGCCTCGGGTTTTCGCCTGTAAAATGGGAACAAGGCTGATAGACCTTACTGAGCGGCTGAAAAACACTCAACACCCAAGGAGCTTCTCAGGCGACGGGGTGGGCAGAAAGAAACGTTGACATTGCTTAATTTCCTTCACTTCGCTTTTCCTGTGTCTGGGAAGTTTGGAAGATCATTAATGACCCCATCTCGAGGACTGGAAGTAGCAACAGCGGCAGTGATATTATTTCGAGTAATTTGATCAATACTTGGTCAACGCTCGTGGGCCGAAGTCGAAGCGCTTTTGAGATCAATTCGATTTGATGCGAGAGTGAAGCTCGCGTCCGCCTCCCCTTGAAATCCAGTGGACTGAAATGTGCTGGCCTTTGGTGCGATTTCCCTGATCTCTCCACCCTTTTGCGATCCTCTACACGCTTAACACCCCTTGGACTCAAAGGGTCTCACTTCTGAGATGACACGTCTAGCGTTGCTCGGCCAGTGTTTGTTGTCGCTCTCAGACGTCACCAAACTGGCTTTTCCTCTCTCTCCCTGACTCGACCTTGTCGGCTTCTCCCTCGCGATCGCTTTTCTCTCCGCCTACCTTCAGCCTCCCGTCTTGGTCCCAGATCCACGCCAAACGGATGTAAACGTTATGGCAATGGGGGGTGGGGGTGGGATAAACTGAAAAAGGAGAAATTGCTGTTGAGCGATACAGCTGTTACGAAATCTCACACAAATAAACGGCGCGCCCTGCCTTTCTCAACCACTTTCAAAGAGAAAAGAACAGGGGGGAAAAGGAAGGGAAGAAAGATCTGAACTCGAGGATTTAAAACCCAGCCTGGAGTCGCTCACAAGCGGATGCTCAGTCTGAGTGGACGCGTGTTTCTGTGCTCAATACAATAATACCGCGCTCGCCTCTGGCTACTGAGCTGGAGACGAAGCGCCACTTAGGCTGCAATCTAGGCAGCGAGTCCCATTGAACTGAATGGGGCTTACTTCTAACAGGAAACGTATCAGCTTCCATAAAAGCAGGTCCGAATCTAAACACGTGGTTTGAACCTGCGGGTCAACCAAGGGAGAGTTTCGGAAGGCTGCCCTATGAACTGGGAGTAAATCTGATTGAAATCAACGGGACTTACTGCGGAGTAAATAAGAGAGCGGAGCAGGTGGTCGTTGTTGCTTTAACTGCCTGCCGCAGAATAACTCTTTGCTATTCTTTTTTTTTTTTTAGTGGACAAGAAATGAGAAGTCAGGTTTTGCCTTGCCAGATTAAAAAAAAAACCAAATGAGTGAGTAAAGTTTACGATTAAAATATTGGTCTCTAGTGGTCTCTCTCCCCTGTGTTCTTCAAAACACAGGCGCGCGCACCAGCTAGGCAAAGTAAACTCTTGTTCTAAGTTGCTAGTGCTGTCGATGGAAATGAGGTGGTCAAGAAGAAACAGTGGCCAAGGCCTCGGCTTTGCCTCCCTCCCAATGAAGCATTAGAGAGGCCCTTTTGTGGCTGCAGCAGCGGCAGCGCACCATTTTGACCTGGAAAGGCACAACAACATCCTGCTTTGCTTGAGCTGAATTCAAAAAGCCTGAGGGATGTAAACGCGGGGTAGGAGGGTAGGAGGCGCGGGAATCACCCATTCTGAATCTGTTTCTAGAAAATCCAGGCTAACAGCCATCGCGGAAAGGGGGAGGGGGGGAGAGGCGGACAAAAAGAAAAAGAAAAGTCCAGGGCTGCTGCAAAAATTCCCTTTCTGACCGGGATGTGAAAAGGGGCTTTACATTCTGTGTGAAATCTCCGTTGTTGTTTGGCAAACAATGGGCGACTGGAAGGCTGAGGGAATGAATAGGCAATCCGCAGGATGCGTGCGGGTCAGTGCTTGGGGTCTCCGTCCTAAAGCCCTCTTTCTCAGCTTGCCACAATAAAGTAGCATGAGGTTTTAAGGCTTTGCTGGGTCACCGGCCATCTCCTATTATTCTACACTTCACAACAACAACACACACACACAATCCAGGCCCCCCCCCCCCCGTTAATCAGCACTGACCAGAGGCCCTTTTTGGAAACAAGAGGAGCAGAGTTGAAGAAAGACTCTCTCTCTCTCTCTCTCTCTCTCTCTCTCACACACACACACACACACACACACACACTCTCTCTCTCTCTCTCTCACACACACACCCTCCCTCAACAGGCCCTCCTGAAAGCAAGATCTCCCATTGGCACTTTGGACCAAAGTTTTCCACCCCCCTTTCCTTTTATCATAACAAAGCTTCCAACTCAGACCACAAGAGAACTGGACTTTTCTCCCCCTGTTTCTGGCCTTCTCATTCTTTCTCTCTCTTTCCTTGGCTCTGAAGATGATGGAGACTTTGTTGCAAGTAAGGATGCCTTTAGGTCAAATGGCCCAGGCCTAGCTGGGAGCTGAGACTGATCCTGGAAGGGAAAGCTGCTTCCTGAGCATCTACTTTGGTGAGGGAGTTAAAAATGGAAAGGGGTTTGGGGTGTGTGTGTGTGTGTGCAACTGGGCCATGTGCTTTAGAGCTGATGGATTAGATGTCATTCCTGAAGTTGTCTGAGGATTTCTTTCATAGCATAGTGTATTGACTCTGGCAGGAGTTTGTGTTGCCTAGTACTGTCCAGTGTAGAATGCTTGCTACTAACCAGAAGGAAATTATTTCTCTACGAGCAGAGATGGCAAAAGACCTTCCCAACTCTACAGTGTTATGATTCTATGATATGTGATTATGATTCATGCTTTAAAGTATAAATGACTGTTTCTTTGTTTGGGTATTTTTTAAAAGTTCACATTTATTTTAAGGTGAAGGATTTACTGAATTGCCCAGAAAGCAAGTCTCTATATAATCTGCAATGTATGGGTATAATAACTTGTCAATGCCTATATATCAAACCCATGAGAGGTACCCCCCCTTTAATACAATAAATTTGTTACTACTGTTTCTCCCTCCTAAATTCAATTCATGAGAGGTTAGTCCCACTGAATTTACCTCCAAGGGCATGACTAAGGCTGCAGTCCTATGCACACTTATTTGGGAGTAAGCGCCATTCAACAAAGTGGGACTTGCCTCTGAGCAAACAGAGATAGGACTGAGTTGTAAAGGAGCAATCATGTGCACACTTGGGACTATGCTCCAGTGAAGTCAGTGGGGCTTACATCCAAGTAAGCATGCACAGAATTCCACAGCATATTTAATTTGATTGGAAGCAAGATAGCTTCTTCTTCTTTTCTTTTTGAAAAAAGGGAGATAGATAGTTTTCTCTGCCAGACTAAACTGCCCAGGCTTTGCAGTTGTTGTTAAAGGGCAGAGCCTTATATGTACCTGAGTGGAAGAAAGCAATTTGTACCTGTGAAGAGACTGTACAGATTGAATCCCTTGTGTATCTTAGGGTGGGGTAACTTATGCTTTTCAAATGATTTATTCTGGGGTGGGAGAACTTGCTTGCTTAAAAGGAGTCTTTTCGATTTACAAAACGGTGGAGCATATTTTTTAGTAAATAATTTCTAAAAAGAAAAAAAAATGTGTGAATCAGGTTGGTATCACTAAACAGGTAAAAGCACTCAGATAAACTTGAAAGAAAGTATCTGCACAATTATCTAGATGGGATTCTTTGTGGTATGCATATTCAGGGGTTTTTTTTGGACTGCAGGCGCCCACACTCAGGGCTTTACTGATGAAGACAAGGAAGATCTTTTATGACACCACCTAAGGATTTCCCCTCATTCACACTGGGAACCCCAAGACTTGCACCATTTATGAGATATTCACCTCCCCGCTTACAGTAGTAACATTGTCTGTCTCCTCTTTTTTGTCCTCTCAGGATTGTGTTCCTCAGATTTTGCAGAAGTTGACATTTCAGTAAAGGAGTAATCAAGTGTTATCTAAATTATTTAGAGCCTGGGATTAAAGGCCTTAATGCTGAGTGCTGACAAGCTTTCAAATGTAGTCTGGGGAGGGGAAAAGTTTTGTATTCTCTCCTCTCTGTATAGACTTTGAAAATAATTTCGATATGTACTGTGAATTGTTTTTATTTTTTGGAATTTATGCACAGGGAAGATGAATAATTCTTTTACAAGTCATTCTCCAAAGGAATTAATAAGACCCTCCAAAATACAACCCAAGCCTATTACACCCAGGATTGTGGCATCTGTAATGCCATTCTTTTAGAAGATCAGTTGCTTTCACAGGTACTTGTTTTTAAAAAGAGCCCTATTGTTTTGAAACTCTTTGTTGGTTTGGTACACAGGGTGTGCATTAATTCAGTAAATCTTCATATTTTCCCTGTTAATCTTCTGCATTTGGAAGCTTTGATCCAGCATTCCTTGTCTTCCCAAACTCCCACTGACTTCCTTCTCATGTGTACCACAGAATAACTGTGACAGTTAATCACAACATTTAACCTTCTCATTTAATGTTGATAAATGTCAAATTCTACTTCAGCATATGGCTTCGGTTGGGTGATTTGAATATATGTTTATTTAACTTAGATTTTCTTCTTTTCTTCTTTTTCCTCCTTTTTTGTAAAGGCAAGTTACCATATCAGTAAATTCTACGATAATGGTATACACAATTTCCCGTTCATTCTCATATGTTGTAGTACAGGGAACAGATTGCAGTATATTTAAATGGGGGGTAGCCTGGTGTGAATTTAATGCATGGTACCAGAATGAGATTCTCTTTGACATACCATTTAGAGCTAATATTATCTTAGATAATGGGCAACTTTCCCCTGGTTTGCTGACAGAGAAAAGGAAAATGTCAAGGTTAGGTTTTGCAAAGTGTTATATTTGAATAACATTCACATGTTCTCCTAAATTAGTAAGATTGCCCCCCCTTACTTGTATTAATATGCCATTTTATAAGGTCAAATTCTACCACATTTTCTCATGCTGTGGAGTACGGTATTCTATCATTGGCCTCATCAACTTTAAAGTGTAGACTCTTGATGCTGGGAGGAATGGCTATACTTGTCCCATAGGGATGTATGGGAGTGTTTGTAGCTGAAAGGGAGAAAGGCTCCTCGTATATTACAATATCCTTACACAATTCTCTAGTGACATAAATTACCCATTTCTGATTCATAGAAAGTGTCATTAATCAAGTAGCATTGGAATAAAGATGCTCACAAAGTCATGATTAGGTGATTGTACCAAGTGTTGAAAATGTTGAATTTAGATGTTAACCATCTGAATGTGCTTTATTTTTTTTATAAGGCATGAAATGGTGGGGAAACTTAGTTTCTGGTGGACAGTAGGAATATGCCGTTTACAGTAGAATCCTACACATATCTGCTTAGAAGTGTCTCACAGAGTTACTCATTTGTACTCATTATGCTGTTTGTGAATGACTTTAATAGATTTCATGGAGATGGCAGGGATCAAGCCTGCATAAAAAATATGTGCTCTACCACTCAGCTAAGGTAGTATAAAAGTTGTGTAAAGGTATCATCCTAGAAAACACATTATTTGTTCTCAATGGGACTGACTTCAGAGTAGATGTGTATAGAGTTGTGCTTTCAGTGGATTAATTGGTTAGACTGCTGTGCATCCCATACATGTCTACTCAGAAGTCATAGAATCATAAAACTATAGGGTCATCCAGTCTAACCCCTGCAATGCAGGAATCTTTTACCCAACATGGGGCTCAAACCCACCACCCTGGGGTTAAGGGTCTCATGCTCTACTGACTGAGCTATCCAGCTCTAAATCAGTCTCATAGAGCTAAATAAGGCTTACTCCCAGGTTAGTGGGTATAGCCGCCTGAATCAGTTAAAATACTTTGACAGGTTAAAAAAAAGATGCCTCCAATTGCAAAGGCAACAGATTTCCTAAAATTCTGTTTTTGTTTTTGTTTAATCTATTTAACCTGGTAAGCTGCTTTAAATCAAGTCAGGCTATTTGTTCAGCTGGTCCAATTTCATCTGCTCTGACTGGCAGCTTCCCATTATAAATATAACTTATATTTAAAATCAAACCCCACCCAGTGTTTGGGAGAATCTATTGCCTGATTATTTGGGGGGGGGCACCTTTTAATCCATCAGAGTATTTCAATTGATTCTAGGAGAGGTCTTGCCCACTATCCTTTTGAAATGGAGATGCAAAGGATTAAAACCGGGACCTCCTGCATGCAAAGTGCTCTATGACTGAGCAGTGGTACTTCTCCCTACTAGTATGAAAACCGTGGGGCAGGTGTCGTCCAAGAAAAGGCATTCTTTCTTTCCCACATAGGTGAGGATTCTTCTCTTAAGAGGGCGCCTGCTGTGACACGTGCATTTGTCATATAAAAGCACAGAATGCCCCTTGCCCCCTTTTTGAAACAATTGTTTTTGTTTGTATGTAAATTTAAGCAAGTGATCGATTAGCAGCACAGTCCTAAGCAAAGCCCGTTTGGATCATTGGGGGAAATGTGCTGCATTTTATTCATTGGTTAAGAGCGATTCCCTCGCTGCGAGAAGACAAGTTACAGGGAACCAGGCAGAGGGCCTTCTCGGTAGTGGCACCCGCCCTGTGGAACGCCCTCCCACCAGATGTCAAAGAGAAAAATAACTACCAAACTTTTAGAAGACATCTGAAGGCAGCCCTGTTTAGGGAAGCTTTTAATGTTTAATAGGTTATTGTATTTTGGTGTTTTGTTGGAAGCCGCCCAGAGTGGCTGGGGAAACCCAGCCAGATGGGCAGGGTATAAATAATATATTATTATTATTATTATTATTATTTATTTAGATGACCGTTCCAGTGGCTAGACTAGTGCCCCCCCTTCAAGCAACAAACATCCAAAAGCTATCAGAGAAGCTTGACATTTAAATGATCAATTTCCGAAGCTTATTTTGATATAGAACATTCATAGGATTGTATATTTGGAAGGGACCCTGACGATCATCTAGTCCAACCCCCGGCAATACAGGAATATGCAGCTATGCATTCAGGGACTGAGCCTGCAATTTTGCATTATTATGCTTTTTTTTGGCATACAATTGTCCCCAGTTTTCCATATTAAAACACTGGGATTATTTAAGTTGTATAGACTTCTTTGTTTTTAAACCTATCAAATTAAAGTTGCCCCTCTTGCAGTAAAGCAAAATCTTATCACAAGAGCTTGCTTGGAACGGATAACAAGAAAGTCACATTGGTTCCAGACAGAAGCTGCTGTTAAAGGAAGGTGGGAAAGAAAGGGGGAGACAATGTTACTTGGGAGCTGGAATAACAGCAGCCACAAAACTTGGCTCTTAAATTGTAGTACAGTGGTACCTTGGTTCTCAAACACCGAAAACTGGAAGCAAGTGTTCCCATTTTCGAACGTTTTTCAGAAGCTGAATGTCCAGTGCGGTTGTTGGCTATTGTTTCCTGGGTGCCTGCACCAATCAGAAGCCGTGCCTTGGTTTTTGAACATTTCAGAAGTCAAACGGACTTCCGGAATGGATTAAGTTTGGTGCATTTGTTTTTGCTATTTATTTTGCATTTTTGTGGCTTTTTTAAAAAAGTTAATTTGTTTTTGTGACTGTGTGGAAGCCAGTTCAGCTACTGATTGATTGATTGTGTGACTGCCAAAATGGATAAAAGCCCCCCATCCAAACAATGACTATCATCAATGCAGGTAAGAAAAAGAAATAATTATTATTTTTATCATCTACAATACTGTCTTATTTATTTTATAGTACAGTACATTGATTATTGTTTTCATTTTATGGATCAGTGGTCTTATTAGATAGTAGAATTCATGTTAAATTGCTCTTTTAGGGGTTTTTTTTTAAAGTCTGGAATGGATTAATCCGTTTTGCATTACTTTCTATGGGAAAGTGCACCTTGGTTTTGGAATGCTTTGGTTTTGGAAAGGACTTCCGGAACGGATTAAGTTTGAGAACCAAGGTACCACTGTATGACTCCCAGAGGTCCTTCAACCACTCTTTCCACATCCCTGTTGGTGTATGAGTAACAGAACTATAGAAAAGAGCAAAATAAGTCTTGGAAAGGAAGTATAGTGGCTCCATTCAGGGCTGGCACCAGCATCCAGCACCCTCATGAAAATGCCAAGACCCATCATCACGGATACAGGTCTGGTTTGTACCACCCTTTCATTTTTCATTTTTGTCCAGTGCTGACAGGAGTGCCAAGCCAATGTGACTGTACTTGCCAATCTCATTTTTAATTCCCTCACTATGCAGTACCGTATGCGCTTATTGTGTAAGGGAATTAAAATGGTGGTTCTGGCAGGTGTAGCCATGTGGGTCCAGTGCTCTTGTCAGTGTGAGTATTCAGATAAGCCTCCCAGGTGTGTGCATGTGGGTCTGTTCCAAAGGCCACTCAAACGTGAAGAAGCCAGCCCTGGCTGATCAGTGGTCACTAACTTAGGGCTCTCAAAATGTTAGGCAGGGCCTCTGTACTGGAACCTGGCAATCCTATCTGACACCACTATTGACTGACTGAAAGCTGCCTGTAGCCATTCCCAACGTCAAATTTCAGAGAGGGCATTCCCTGTGGCAGCCTCTAAGCTATGGAATTTCCTCCCCTCAGGGGTGCATCTGGTACCTTCACTGTATAACTCCCTTCTTAGGTTTAAGGTCCACCTCTTTATGATGGTCTTTGACATCTATGGTTTGTAGGATCCATGTGATTCTTCTGATTGATGTACCTCGGGTTACATACACTTCAGGTTACATACCCTTCAGGTTACAGACTCCGCTAACCCAGAAATAGTGCTTCAGGTTAAGAATTTTGCTTCAGGATAAGAACAGAAATTGTGCTCCGGCAGCATGGAAGCAGCTGGAGGCCCCATTAGCTAAAGTGGTGCTTCAGGTTAAGAACAGTTTCAGGTTAAGAACGGACCTCCGGAACGAATTAAGTACTTAACCTGAGGTACCACTGAATTGGTTATAATCTTGTGTTTTTATATTGCTGTAACCCACCCTTATGCTGAGGCCTTATGCTGAATGGTGAGTACAAAAGCTGCATAATAATAATAATAATAATAATAATAATAATAATTCAAATGCACCACAAGCTTGTCAGCAAATGGCAGATGGTTGAGGGAAAGCCGTATTTTTCAGTGCTGAAGGACATACACAAAAACATGAAAACAGCCTTTTTTTAAAAAAAAAAGTTTAGGGGATCCTGATATTCCAAATATGGGAACTAGATAATGTGATGCCCTCTAGATGTTTGAACTGTGAATCCCATCAACCCCAGCTAGCATGGCCAATGGTCAGGAATGATGGATGTTGTAGACCACAACATTTGGAGGGCACCATGTTGACTCCACCTGGCCTAATGAGCCTTGTTTAAATGCAGGGGCTTGTTCCTGAACACCATCTCTTATCTAGGTCCATAGGAAATTGATCATGTCCACCATTGGTTCTGCTCTGCACTCTCTTTGACTTTTGTGACTAGAAAGCACAAAAGCTCTCATCAATAAATTATGCCAGCCAGGCATATTTGCATAGATTCACTTAATTCTCTCTAATTTATTCCAGTGGTGAAATTAAGATTTCATAGAAATCATGTTGTTTATATCCTGCCTTTCCTCCAAGGAGCCAAGAATAGCATTCAGGCCTCACAACAATTCTATAAAATAGTGTGGGTTGAAAAACAGGATCTTTACAAGGGGTAAGAAAACTGCTTTGAGGGTGTTGTTGTTTTTTAACCATCAAGTGGTATATACATTTTAGGAAACAATTAAATTATGAAATAAGAAGGCATTTGCCACAGATTGATGCTGACCTGTGAGGTAAAATTGTCATTTGTAAGGGCTGAGGCTCATGTGGTCTAGAGCAGTAATGGGAACGAGCAATATGTGGATTAGAGTAAGGAGGAAAAGCTTGAGGCATGACAAGTGATAGGGAAGAATGAGGAAGGCTTATATGCTGGTCAACAGGAACACACACAGGGGCACACAGCAAACGTGCATACTTCTGGCTGCCCTCTAGCATACAACACAACTGGAACAAAAGGGATAAAACAAAACAGGAATGTTTTCGAGGAATAATACAGACCCCATGGTGACATCAGGACTGGACAGCTTGTCAGTCATGCAGGGGGTGGGCAGCCAGAACATCTGATGTCCTAGCTAATGTTTATTTCTGCTTTTGACCTGCATCTTTTGGTGTCCCCCCCCTTTCAACCGAGAACATACCTTGAAGGGAAAAGTGGGGGAATGGAGATGGGAGTTTCTCCTTTTGCCACATTACATATTTATTTTCTGTCATATGAGATCCTGCTGCTACTGCTTTTACCACAGATAGTTTGGGCAAGGCAGGGACTGAAACTTCCCCAAATATCTGAGCCAAAAGCTAGCTAGCAGCTGTAGAAATATCACAATCTCTTAATGGCTGCTGAGCTGATGATGTTATTTAAAATAAAAATACAGTAGTGTGGCATTCATAAAGACACGTGGAAGCATCCAGGATATCTGCTGTAAACAGAGTGTTGTGAATGTAAACTCAATGGCAAACTGCTAGTTTATTTACATTTTTAAACAAGATCTCTATAGTTGTGTGGTTGGGGGGGGATAGCCCATTTATAAAGAGTTGGATGGTGCTACCTCTCTATGTCAAATCCCATTTATCTGAGTGTTGCTGGCGCGTTCAATAGAGAAAGTGTGTCCTGCACACATTCTGCCTCAGTGTAGAGAACGGGTGCAAGGAGTTCACAGCCCCACAGCTGAGGTTGTGGGGAGAGGAGAGAGCGAGAGAGGCCCCTGGGGCCAGTTCAGACAAAAAGCCAAGAAAACAGCAGGAGACCACAGTCAGGGGAAGAAGGCCCCAAGCTATGTGCCTGGTGTTAAAACAGCAAAAATGGTAAGGGCTTCTTTTCGTGTGTGAGGATGGGGGAGGGGAGGGGAAGGACCAATATGGTGACAATTTTCAATTGTTGAGCTTCCATATAAATTCTTACCAACTCTGGTTTTGCGTAACATAGTAAGGGAAATCAGATACATCAGTCCCAGTTCCATTTAGAATCATTTTGGAACCTGTGAAATCAAGTTTGCGTATTGTGAAAAACCCCATCCCTTCCACAGTGCCATCCATAAAGGTCCCAAAGATCTGTACTGAAATAAGTGAGTATAATTTAATTTAATTATGTGGCATCCTGGCATTCTCATTCTTTTCACCATTATTTGATTCACTAACCCTATTATTTTATTCTCTGTATGTATGTGTGTGAGAGATTGAAAGGAAAGAGATAACGTGTATTTCCATCCAAAGTTCAGCAGTCAGGGCTCTTCTCTTCTGAATCAGAGAGTCCAAAGTAAAAGCTGCATTCAGCAATTTGTTCAGGAGCTAGGCTTGAACTACAAAGAAGCCTCATGGGCACCATTTTGATATATCCTGAACCAAATCAAGCTGATTTGGGTGGTTTTGGGATTTTCCTGTTGTGGATTGAGGCAGTCCCAGATTGCCCCAAATTAGGGATACCCAGTGCAATTTGGGACTGTCAAAATGGGGGATGGAGGTATTGGGCAACCACATACTTGATTAGAGCTTTCTATCCCAATTAACTCTTTCATGGATCACTGCCTTGCCGTGGTAAAGGGGCTTGAATAACCCAGAGAAGCTATGAGCTATGCCATGCAGGGCCACCCAAGATGGACAGGTCATAGTGGAGAGTTTTGATTAAATGTGATCCACCTGGAGTAGGAACTGGCAAGCCACTCCAGTATCCCTGCCAAGAAAACTCCATGGACAAAGACAACAGGCATATAAAAGTTATGACGCTGGAAGATGAGCCCCTCAGGTCGGAAGGCGTCCAACATGCTACTGAGAAAGAGCAGAGGACAAGTACAAGTACATTCAGAGCTGATGAAGCGGCTGGGCCAAAGCTGAAAGGTCACTCAGTTGTGCATATGTCTGGAAATGAAAGGAAAGTCCAATGCTGTAAAGAAAAATATTGCATAGGAACCTGGAATGTAATAACCATGAACCTTGGTAAGCTGGATGTGGTCAAAAATGAGATGGCAAGAATAAATATTGACATCCTGGGCATCAGTGAACAAAAATGGATGGGAATGGGGCAATTCAGTTTGGATGACCATCATATCTACTACTGTGGGCAAGAATCACGTAAAAGAAATGAAGTGGCCCTCATAGAGACCAAATTGCAAACATGCGTTGGATTATGGAGAAAGCTAGAGAGTTCCAGAAAAACATCTACTTCTGCTTCATTGACTATGCAAAAGCCTTTGACGGTGTCGACCACAGCAAACTATGGCAAGTTCTTAAGGAAATGGGAGTGCCTGATCACCTCATCTGTCTCCTGAGAAATCTCTATGTGGGACAAGAAGCTACAGTTAGAACTGGATATGGAACAACTGATTGGTTCAAAATTGGGAAAGGAGTACGACAAGGCTGTATATTGTCTCGCAGAATTCATCATGTGAAAGGCTGGGCTGGATGAATCCCAAGCTGGAATTAAGATTGTCAGAAGAAATATCAGTAACCTCAGATATGCAGATGACACAACCTTGATGGCAGAAAGTGAGGAGGAATTAAAGAACCTTTTAATGAGGGTGAAAGAGGAGAGCGCAAAATATGGTCTGAAGCTCAACATAAAAAAAACCTAAGATCATGGCCACTGGTCCCATCACCTCCTGGCAAATAGAAGGGGAAGAAATGGAGGCAGTGAGAGATTTTACTTTCTTGGGCTCCATGATCACTGCAGTTGGTGACAGCAGTCATGAAATTAAAAGACACCTGCTTCTTAGGAGAAAAGCAATGACAAACCTAGACAGCATCCTAAAAAGCAGAGACATCACCTTGCCAACAAAGGTCCATATAGTTAAAGCTATGGTTTTCCCAGTAGTGATGTATGGAAGTGAGAGCTGGACCATAAAGAAGACTGATTGCCGAAGAATTGATGCTTTTGAATTATGGTGCTGGAGGAGACTCTTGAGAGTCCCATGGACTGCAGGAAGATCAAACCTATCCATTCTGAAGGAAATCAGCCCTGAGTGCTCACTGGAAGGACAGATCTTGAAGCTGAGGCTCCAATACTTTGGCCACCTCATGAGAAGAGAAGACTCCCTGGAAAAGACCCTGATGTTGGGAAAGACTGAGGGCACAAGGAGAAGGGGACGACAGAAGATGAGATGGTTGGACAGTGTTCTCGAAGCTATGAACATGAGTTTGACCAAGCTGCGAGAGGCAGTGGAAGACAGGAGTGCTTGGCGTGCTCTGGTCTATGGGGTCATGAAGAGTCAGACACGACTAAACGACTAAACAACAACATCCCAATTAAATGGGGGGGGGGGGCAGGGAGATGCAAGCAGATACTCTCACCAGTCTTTCTCTCCCCCCCCACTCCTTACCAATGATCACGTTAAATTAGGGGTTAAAACCCTGATTAAACATGTGGTCGGAAGGTGGGGGAGGAGACACAGGTGAGAGTCTGTGCTTGTGTCTCTTTCTGCCCCTTCTTTTCACTGCTAACCACATGTTTAATTGGGATTTAAAACCCTAATTAAACAGGACTGGGCAAGGGCCTCAATTTACTTTGGGGCCTGGGCTAAGCTTGAGACAGATTGGGCCCAATCCGAGGTGCTGAATCAGACCCTGAAATGGATTGGGGGAGGGGCTGTGCACAGCCCTGCTATGTATGACAGATTTGAAACAGGGTCACTTCAGTCATGGTGGTTTAGAAGTTCTTATATTTTGAACTGCTCTGAGATCTGCTAATGAATGGTGGTATACAAATTTAACAAGTAATAACAATAAGTTTAGCAGTGTAACATATTCCTGCCCCCACTACACTGGTTCCTGCAATTCCCCAGCTCCCCAACAAACATTTTAACTATTTCAGGCTTATAGAATTTGAAAGAGGGTGAATATACTGTCCTTGTGAGGAGGAATTAGAGTGCTTTCCACCAGCCATTACTATTATTCTGCGTAGCGAGACTGTTTCAGAGTGCAAGCACTGAAGTTGTTACTCATAAGTATTATTACTGTTGAGTATTATTACATTAAAGTGCTGCTTCAGAGGCCAACCGTTGATGTCCTTATTCTTAACCATTATTAAGACTTTGAATAGTTCTATAGTTTAAAAATAATTTTATTTTTACACATGGGAAGCTGAAGCTGAGATAATGTACCTTGCCCCAAAGCACCAATGAGGGCCATTTCATTTTATTTTATTTCCATGCCATTCCATAACCAGTGTTCTCTGGATCTCTGACATAGAAAGTTAAAATACAACCCAGAATCAATGCAACAATAAAATGTATATGTGGTATAAAACCAAACAGCAGCAGAGATAAAAACACGAATGCTTATTCATAGATGACCACAACCTGAAACAATGACCTGAGGGGTTGATGTGTGAGTCTGTGGGAAAAAAGCAACAAAAGAATTTTGTGGCACCCTAAAGACTAACAAATCACATTTATTGATTTTATTAGAGCACTTTATATCCTGCCTTTTAGTGTAAATAAATACACCATTCATAGTGTACACCACCACACATGAAATGCCATAAACAGAGTTTGGGGTATTGCTTGCCTCACCTCAAGAATAAAGTAATAAAGTAATTAACACACTCATTGTGTGTGAGGTTCTCGTGAAACATGGACCACTTATAAACGCCATCTCCAACTCCTCGAAAGATTCCATCAACGGTGTCTCTGAAAATTTGTACACATCACTTGGGAAGACAGGCGAACTAATATCAGTGTACTGGAAAAAGCAAAGATAACCAGTGTTGAAGCAATGATTCTTCAACATCAACTTTGTTGGACTAGTCATGTTGTGCAGATGCCTGATGATCATCTTCCAAAGCAACTTCTCTATTCTTAACTTAAAAATGGAAAGCATAATGTTTGTGGTCAACAAAAGAGGTTTAAAGACTGTCTCAAGGAAATCTAAAAAAATGTAGTATAAACACTGACAACTGGGAAACACTGGCCTTGAGCGCTCCAGTTGGAGAACAGCCTTTACCTAAGGTGTCATGGGCTTTGAAGACACCCAAACTCAGGACGCAAGGGAGAAATGTGCTAGGAGGAAGGCACGCTTGGCAAATCCACACCATGATCAACTCCTGCCCGGAAACCAATCTCCCCACTGTGGAAGGATGTGTGGATTCAGAATTGGCCTCCACAGTCACTTATGGACTCACTGTTAAAACTGTGTTTATGGAAGACAATCTTACTCGGCTACGAGTGATCGCCAAAGAAGAAGAAGAAGAGTGTGAGGAGTTAGTGAATGATGAGTGAATCAGCCCAGAGGAACAGTGAGTCTACTCCAATGACAATACTCTGTCCCTTGGACTACAAATGTTTTTCTGTCAGATGTTGGGCCATCTCTCTGTGTTGATCATTAAAGTTCTGGATGCACTCATGCAAGCATGCATGCAAGCAAGCAAGCAAGCAAGCACACCTCTATCCATTTCCTCTATTTCTCTGGCCTGTGGCAGAATCTCAAAGCACTGGAGTGGGGAGAAGAGATGAAGACACTTGGATTTCCCTAACCCCAGCTTTAGGGTCCGCTCAAGACATTTCACTACCTGAGGCAAAGAACAAAAGGGAGGAGAATGGGTACAAAATTTAGAACGAATTGGCTCTTTATTTCATTGGCGCTGACTCCATCGGTTGTTGGTCTGCCTGCCTTCTGCCCTACCAATCCCAATGGGCACCAACTACTTTTTAAGGATTAGATGAAATAAAACAATTCAGGGAGCGAAGGAGCCAAACAGAGCTAGTCTTTCAGCTGAGATGATGGAGCAGCTTCATGTCCAATCTTTCCTTCTGGATAGGTGAAATGGATTCTGCCAGGTGACTCCTGAGAGAAGGAGGGAGGGAGGAACCTGATGGAGCTGGTCTCTCAGCAGACCTGATAGAGGGACCCTGCTTCTTAACTTGCGAACTGCCCTGAAACCTGTGGATATAGGGTGGTATACAAATTTAATAAATAATAATAATAAACTCTTCAGCTGCTGCAACCTGATGGATCTGTCACATATCAAGTCAGATCATTTTCTTATCTGGGTTTCATCCAGTGCTACTTCTACTCAGAGTACACCCATTGAAATTAGTAGCCATGGCTAACTTCAGTCCATTAATTTCAGTCAGTCTACTGTGAATGAAACTTACCTGGACACAACCCTATGTCAGCAACTATCTAAGACCTCATAAGAACATAAGACCACTGCTAGAGCAGAGCAAAGTCCATCTAGTTCAGCATCCATAGTGGTCCAAACAAATGCCTATGGGGAGGACATGAGCACAACAGAATTCTCTCTTCTTGTGCTCCTCAGCAATTGGTACCCAGAGGCATACCACCTCCAGTGCTGAGGTACAAAGCCATGGTGGCTAGTAGCCATTGACAGCTTTATCCTCCACAAATTTCTCTAAACATCTCTAAAGCCACCCAAGCTGGTGGACATTACTATATTTTGTTTGACTATGCGTTCTGTGAATAAATTCTTCCTTTTGACTGTTCTGACTATTACAATGGGCAGATTCACTAGATGACTCTGTTCTAATATGAAGAGTCTGGGAGAAAACTCCATCACACCATGCAAACATTAATATACCTCTGTCATATCCCCCCCTTAGTTACCTTTTTGCTAAATTAAAAATCTCACGCACGTGCCTTTCCCAGCCCTGCTCTCTTTTAACTGGAGGAGCCAAGGATTGAACCGGGGCTCTCCTGCATGCAAGGCACGCACCCTCCCACTGAGCTACGGCCCCATGTTGTATTGACTTGGAAGTCTATTGATCTTGAACCATTATTAGTTGGCATGCAGTCTCATAGGAATAAGCTCTTTGCAAGTTTACTGGGCTTTAAAGTGAAGAATATTATTGGTGTAGGTTCTGTGTAGAATGCTAGACCATTCATAAAATAAAAATTATAGCTGCAAGTTCTTTTCTTTAATGAGTTGTTTCAGGCTTGTCGAGTAAAGTTCAAAGTATACCTTGCAGAGTAATTACAGTTCTAAATGGTATAGAATATATAATAAATTATATAGCATCAGTATTAAACCTTATGCCATGCTCCTCGTGAGAACAACCCATTTCACAAGTTTTGTTCTTCATGTCGTTTGATTCAATATTTGACGTTAAACATTTCCAGCTAAAGAGAAGATGAGATGATTATCTCCCAAAGCTCGTTTAAGCCACCGTTCATTGGGTTACAGCCAATTTGGCCTCAGTGATGATCACTGGCTTAGTTTATAGCTTAATTTGAATACTTCTTGCACCAGGAAATAAATGTCTACCATGGCTACTACCGCATCAAAATGGCATCACTGCTGTACATAGTGGTGTCATGCTACAAATTCATGCCTCCACAACCTGTGACACATCAAGACAAAGACAAGCTGAAACTCCTCTAATCCTTTTTTCTTTTTCTTTACAAAGTTGTTATTGTACTTCACCAGATCTTAGCATACTACAGTATTTGTAAGAATGGATTACAAATTACATTGAATTTGTCCATAGCAAGTCTGCGTTTATATGCAAATTGTTCATATGTTGCACGTTTGTATAAGTCTTCAATCCAATCATAGAATGGAGCTGCATTTTTATTTTTCCAGTTCATCAGTATCAGTCTTTTTGCTGTGGTAAGGGCACAGAGAGACCACTCATATTGTCCTTTTGTAAGGTTCCATGTGCTGGGTAGATAATTCAAGAGGATATTTTGCTCTGTAACTGTAAGCTTGTTCCGTACAGTTCTGTTGATAGTTTCAGTTACCTTCTGCCAAAACTCTTTCAATATAGGACAATGAAAAAACACATGGAAACTCATCTCATCCTAATTATCTTTGCTTAGAACATAAGAGCCTGCTGAATCAGGCCAATGGCCCATGTAATTCACGATCCTGTTCTCATAGTGACCAAGCAAAAACCTGTGGGATTTGTGGTTAGAATTGTGCTTTAGATAAGTAAGGAACCTTCCTCTTAACTTTCTTTTCAATTTGATGCTAGCAACTTAAGCCGTACCCTAACTACCTATACTCAGAAGTAAGTCTTATTGAATTCATTAATGTACACTCACAGTTAAGTGAGGTTAGGATTATTACCTGGGAACTCAGTGGGACTTATTTTTAAGTAGACATGGTTAGGATTTCACTGTTAGATGCCATGATTGTCATAACCTGTCAGAATTTGGCGAAAACAAACCACAATTTAAAATTGTGTGTGTGTGTGTGTGTGTGTGTGTGTGTATTTGAATGACACCTAAAAACCATGAGGAATGTGCCAATGTGGAAATCCGATGTGGTGTATTAGCCAGCAAGCTAGGCTAGGGTTTAGAGAAGCAAGGTACAAATCTATACTCACCTTTGAAACTCACTGAGTAGCTTTGGGTAAGCCTCTGTCCCTCAGTCTACCCTACTTATCAGAGCTGTTTTGAAGCTAAAACTATGCTTCTGAGTTCATTGAAAGCAAATTACAAATTTAACAATTTTGTAAAATAATAATAATAATAATAATGATAATAATAATAATAATAATTTAAGATTGATATGATGCACTTCACTATAAATGGTCACAAAGTTCATCACAACATTTAAAATTATACCAAACCAACAAAAGTATGAAGCAAAATTTACAGCTCAGTTCTAGAAAACCAGTCCTTTATCACCATAGTTTACCCTGAGATATGCATGTTGGGATCCACTCTGTTCTCTTGACTGTAATAGTCAATATGCAACAAATGTATCCCATTCTACTTGCACAACAGGACTGCCCCCCACTCCACCTGCGCACCCTACACTTTCCCCAAATCTGCTCCAGAGAGTGTTGTGGGAATCTCTGGAACAAATTTAGGTGGGCATGTGGGGATAAACGGAGAGGAAAGTCCTGTTGTGTAAGCAGAAATCCTTGCACTGACAGGACTGTGACTTAGCTCTGCTTTAAATACAACTTAATCTGTTTCAACTGTTTTTAATATTGCATTCTTAATCTGTTGTAAGCCACCCTGGCGAAAGATGGCTAAGAACTCTAATAAATAATACCAACAAAAATATTACCATACAGCCCCACACAGTTAAAATACTCAGAAGTCCTGTAGCAAGAGGATGAATTTCAACTGGTGCTGTCAGTTGAACTGTGTGTGTGTGTGTGGGGGGGGAAGCGCTCCATGTTTATGTGCCATAAAAAACCTGGAACTCCGCCTGACAAAAAACCCCTTAAAACAGTATTTCTGAATTGTAAGCAGAATGTTATTGCCGAATCCACACCTCAATAAATTATTAACCTTTTGGAGACCCGTAGCAGGAGGTATTTTAAGGTTAAAAAATAAAGAAGAGAAGATAAATAGAGGGCATCATGCATTATAATGGAAGTTGTTTGTTCAAATCCTAGGAGAAATAGAAGTGGATTAACAGGCTTTAACTTCACCGTTTGAAAGGAAACATGTGTCTTTGCACAGGGTGAGTAGCAGGGTGAAGATGTACTATTATTTGCTACCTTTTTGATGTGTCTTGTTTAACATTTGCTCATATGTTTAGTCAAATGAGACAGAACATTTGTATATACTTTACTGAATGAGGTGGGACAGTTCTAGGACATGAGCGCACCAATGATATAAACTACACACATTATTCTGTCAAGGTGATGGCTAGGCTGGCAAGCCTGGACATTAAATACAGCGAGACACAATCAATCTTCTGCTCAATTGTTTTGGTTGCTATCACTTGATCTGTTCACATCTAGCAATATTCAAATGCTGTGAGAGCCGCAAATCCTGAGGAGAATCTAGCTCAGGCTGTGTACATGCTATACCTTTAGATCATATTCAAAACACATTTACCCCTGTAAAGAACTCTGGGATTGTTAAGGGTTGCAGGGAATCACAACTCTGTGAGGGGTAAACTACAATTCCCAGTATTCTCTGTGGGGAAAATGTGCTTCAAAAGTGCTTTAAATGTCTAGTGTGTATGTAATCCCAGTCTGTTTTGCTAGGCTAATACACAGAAACAAAGCTCCACATGGAGGCCATTTTTTATTTTATGGTTACATGGCACACCTGCTCTAAAAGCAAGCCAGAGCAGTGGCTCACCTCACAAACTGGACACTGCAAAACACCAAAAAGGCCTTTGTGGGAGTACAGAGAAAATTGCCAGACCATTAAGTGCCAAACCTCCTCTCAAAAATGGCTTCCCTGGGCAGATCAGGAACCACAAAGAATAATGACATTTCAGTGGCTGTCTTTCATGTGAACTGTCACAAAATGGAAATTGGCAGAAGAGAGTCAATCAGACAGTGATGATTTTTGTTAAGTTGTGGGTGAACATATCAGACAACACAGCGATTCTTCAAACAGCTCTTGTTTATTCACAGGCCAGAACAGAATTGAACTGAAGGGTTCAGTCAGCCTGCTTATATAGAGCTCCAGTACAACGTAACTGTAACAATTTTCTAAAACTATCCAATCACTGAACATCACTTTCGATCCCTTATTTGCATAACTATCTACAGTACCCCCTGCTGGCCCAGGGTGAGAACTTCAGTACATAACAATTTTGGTACCTCAGTGCTACGCTAGAAGATTGATATAGAGAAGTTGTGTGGAAGCTGTATTTCATTAGGGTTTTTAGTATTTTGACTGGTGTTTTATGGCAGCCATGCTGACTCTATGATTCTTCTAGTATACTTGCAGATGTGCAGAGGTCATCATATATAGTGACACAAAGGCTGGTATCAGACAAATTTAGTAACGCATCTGTTCTCCAACATGCTATCATGTCTTGGCCTTGACATCTATTTAACCTGGCATGCATTTGTAGAAAAAAAGAAGAAACTGACGATTTGTGCATCTGATTTAAGTTCAGAAGTTAAATGGTTAACATGTTACTTTTACTTAGATTAGGATGGGGCACATGTAATTCTCCATGCCTTGTTGAACTACAACTCCTAACACAATCCTGAGTATTGGCCATGCTGGTTGGAGCAGATGGGAGGCACCAGCTTGGCTACCCCTGTTGTAATGTGGCCTTGAAAAGCCACAGCAAGCCAACCAAAATTTTCAGTTGCAGTTGGTCAACACTTTTTTCAACACCAGCTTTGGTCAATGAGAAGCATGAAGAGGCACACTTTCACTTCTTCAGCCCTCCCCACGCTTTGGCCCTGCAGATGTTGTTGGTCTACTACTCTCATCATCTCTGACCATTGGCCACATTGACTGAAGATGATGGGAGCTGTAGTTCAAAACATCTGGGTGAGGGACACCAGGTTGGAGAAGGTTGCTTCAAAGAAATTAGGCATCCAGGAATATAATTGCTTTATTGATTCTTAGTATGAAAACCACTCATCTTATTGGTAGATGGTCCCTGCAATACATTATTATTATTATTATTATTATTATTATTATTATACCATTATTTCTTAGGTAAAAGTAGCTCTTTGTCTCAAAATGATGAAGCAAGCAACCAAAAGAGAAATCACCCACCAAACCATACAGCAAGAAATATTTTGCATAAATACACACGTCTCCAGAGAGAATGAAAGGAAAAGATGTCTTAAAAATTATGGTGATTTAATTTTATTTTGCCCAAGAATGACATTCTCCTGAGTATTTGTGAAAATGAAGATGAATATGCAGGGATCCATTTGGTTGCTTTTGCGCCAGATGGCCAGTTGCAGAAGCTGAACTAAGCTGAACTGATTGATTCATTTTTGCCATATTGCACGCTGGCATTTACCAGGGTTCACATAATTCAAGTACTAACATTTTTGGTGCTTTTTCACTTCCTAATTCACCCCCCTTAGTTCCTTAATCCAAAAGGAAACAAGTAATTTCCCCAAGTAAACTGTTTCTATCTCCCCTTCCCCATGTGTCATAATAGAGATTTAATAATAGAAGGACTAATGAAATACGATAAGAGACCAAATACAAGAGACAAAGTTGCATGTAGCATGTTGTGACCAAGGCTTCTGCTAAAGAAGTTGAACTCAGGACCCCTGAAGAACTTGGTAGAAATAAGGTCAAAATTAGGCTGACAGTAAAAATAAAAATGTAATTAATATAAAAAATGTACTCAGCTTTACTTTGGCTATTGAAACGTTATGGCCATGATTCAGATAACAGAATTATGGTGGCATAAATAGCATAAAGTATAACTTGGTTTTCTTTTATATGCAGCTACCATGCCAGATGTGAGTGGAGCTTTCTCTGAGGTGGCCCCCAAATTATGGGATGACCTCCCCTCTGATGCACATCTTGCACATTGTCTGCTTTTCAACAATTAGAATTAAGAAACAGGGTGTCTCTGAGCGCACAGTCAGCCCTTATGGTCCTTGTGCCAGCATGCATCTCATTCTATGAATAAAGCTACTTTTGGTTTTCTCCCAAGCTTTCTTTATTAGGGAAGCCTAATTTATAAAGAAAATATGCTGTTTTTCAACAATTGGCAGCTGGAAATCCTTGACAAGCTCTGCAGATCATCGGATCTCCCAGTAGATCTGGGTCTACCTTCTGCCTGCCCATGCCTTAGGCAAGACATTGCATCTCAGCTTCTGCTTCCCTGCCTCCTTTGCAATATGTGGAGAATAGAGTTTATTTGTTCAAGGTTATTTGTATGGATTACTAGAATAAAATGGATGAATTGCTTTGTATATTCTAAAGTGAAATGGTTTAAGGCTGAAGTGCAAATGAACTTTATCCATTGGAAGCTTCCCAATTCTAGGTTGGGGATGATGAAGCTATGGGCCTCTGGGAGGTTGCTGGACTCCAGATCCCATCTGCTCTAACCAGTATGGCCAATGGTCAATGATGATGGGAGCTGCTACCTGACACGGTTTTCTCCAAGGACACCCAAGAACTCTAGATTTGACAATGCTGAGAATTTTCTGCAGCAGATCATTTGTCTTTTCACAGAACTGTAGTTTATTTGGACTGAACAGTTATTTAAACCCAGGGAAGAGCCAATGCAGTTGAAACTAGTTTAGTTTAGCAATAAGGAAAGATTCATTTCAGGGTTGGGGTTAAGCATGAGGCTGGTTTCGTCACTACATTGAACTAGCACTGTGAATTAGCCTTTCAAGCTCATGAAAATGTAGCAATGTATGTCTATTCCTAACTTCCCTAAAATGAGGAGATTTTGCAAAGGTATTTCAAGGCTAGAACTTAGGACAAACCACCTACAGTACTGTGCCCATTAGAAATCCACAGTTAAGTTGAGAGGTAGATATTTACTACGGTAAGTTAAGGGGAACCTCTCTGTCCAGAAGTTGTGCACTTCTGAATATCAAATGTTGTGGATAACCAATGGCAGTTCCTTCTGCTTTGCTTGCCTGTGAAATTTCAGAGGCTGGGTTTTTGTTGGGGGGGGGGGAATGTTAGATAGGCCTTTGTCTGATCTAGCAAGGTAATCCTAACATTCTTAATGACTTAATGACCATATTAAGTGCATTTCACTCAAAATAAGGAGGGGGGAAATCCACATGATTGTATTACAGTCCTATGACCCTAATGTTTGATAATATCCTTTCACAGTTACATTGCATCTGACAAGCAACATGCAAATGAATTGATTGGTTCTGCTCGCACAAACATAATACCACTGGTAGCTACATTGGTGTGAACTGGTGGTGCGGTTTAAAGTTCTCTGTCTCTCTGTGTATGTAGAAGAGAAAGAGATAAGAATCCCTCCCACCTATACAACCCTCAAAACTTTACTTCATACAAACTGCAGTTTCTAGGTTGCCCATTGGGGAAGCAGGATTTATAAATACTCTAAATAAAACCAGCAAGTAAGTGATGCCATCAGATTATAGCCATACGTCCTTATGCAGTGATGTGTGGATAAAAGAGCTTCCTCATCTTGAAACTCCTTTCACTTTCATTTCGGTTGATGAAGCGGATTCAGATGAATGTTCCTTTGTGCTCTCTGATCACATTCAGAAAAAACCTCATGTGTGCATTAGAAACCATGTGGCACTACAGATGAGAGCAATGAACTACAATCCTATACCCTCTTACATGCACGTAGACTCGCTGAAACAAGGCACAGACAAATGCCTCAGTTTGAAAGGGGATTAAGTGGTTGCAGAATTGTAGTCTAAATGTGTGATGGGCTGTTATTTAAAGCTGCAGCATCTTTGCTCCTGGAACATATAATACTAATGGTTGAGAAAATTGTGGTTGGGTTGTAAAATAACTGCAGCTTCTTAGAGAGAGATGGCATTTAAAAACAAATAAATAGTAATATTTTTATTGCTTTTGAAGATGCCATTAAATAGACTTTCTAAATCTGACCTTCAGCAAGCGCATTCAAGGAACTGAATATTTAACCAAACAAACCCGAACAAAAAGCAGATGACCCAGATATAGAAAGTCTGACAGGGGAAAGTTCTTTCATGTCCAGAAATGTAGGGTCTGTTAATATAAGCATCAACATTTCTTAAGAATTCCCCGTGCATCTTTTCTACAGTCTATAACCTACATCAGTGGGTTAAACAAAACAGTCAGAAATCCCAGACTATAGGATTGAAAGGGATTAAAAAGAGTGAACCTACAGTACTTTTATTGACCCAGGTCCACACATTAACCTGATCTGATCCTATAATTACTCTGAATAGAATAGGGCTTACAGTCCTCCTTAATAACACCCCATGCTTTTTATTCTATAAAGAGCTTTTCCATTCATGTGGCCCCTTCTTTTGAGATATACAGATCTGTTGGTAAGAAAGAATATGTGTGTGGCTTTTCTGCCTCTCCAGGGGAGAAAACTACCTAATGTGGTGTCTAGCATGCTTGCCTGCACATATGGTACAAATATTACACACACACACACACACACTTCTTATTTCACTTTTTAAACAAAATAAATAAAAATTAGTTCTTATTTCATGTTCTTTAAGAAAGAAAAGAAGCATATATATATAGAGAGAGAGAGAGAGAGAACAGAATCTTCAGCCACAGTTATTCTCCTTATTTGAGACTTGTTTGATGGATTCAACAGTGTTCTCTATTTATCCTTACATTGTTTTCCCACATGGCTCCTAGAATTACTGCACAAAATTAAAACCTAGTCAGAATGATATATGGAAAAATGCCCTATATATGAACACTACATGCTACTATAATTAATAACTGAAGTTTCCTCTGATTTCTGTAATACCACTGCAGCCGACTGATAAGGACCTTTAGGAGAATAAAACTAGGGGGGACATTAATAATTATAATTTCGCATGAGTGTGAACAGTCACACAGTCATTTGAGTCTTTAAAATGAGCTAAAGAGTATGAGTAGGACACCAAGATATAAAATGGAGATTCCCCCCACCCCACCCCACCCCTAAATAGGGTAGGACTCAGGTAGTGGTCTATCCTTGCTTTCCAGTCTACAATTAATTCATAAGCACAACATAAAAATATCACTGGATGTCTCTGTTAAGTACACCCATCTTAAAGTTGGGTTTTGTTGTTTTTTGGAGCCGTATTTATTTTCTCTGAAGAGATGACTTAATACTATTCTGAAAGTAAAAGTTCTTTATAAGTTTCATATGCAATTCAGTTGCAATGCATATCATGAAGCCATTAGAAGCAACAGTAACATGGCTTTCTCGCCTAGACTTCTCCCACTCCCAGGTGATACTGTAACGTTTGAAGGAGACAGATTTCACTCTTCTGCATTCTTCAATGTGCAAGATACTGCTGTTGCTTAACTCATTCTTGCCAGGTAGATCCCATGCAACAATTATGTTTGCACCAACCAGCACAGTTTTTGATACTTGCTGTTTTGCTCCCCAGATTTGAAGGATATGAATAATCCATGCTGCCCACACAAACCCTTCTGAATAAAATGGATACAATTTGGTGGATAACCTCTAGAACATCAACACGGTCTATTCTTGCTTTCTGCTGCTATTATTATTATTTAAAATCAGCTTAGCACTTTAGGCTGCAATCCTGCAGCACTTTTCACCTATGAGTAAGCCTCATATAAATCAATGGGGCTTGCTTCTGAGGAAACATGTGCAGGCTTGCACTGCTAGCGTTCTTTTTCACAACTGCTTCTGTAGTTCAGGTTCACTCTTCAGGGCATTTTTACACTATGGGAAATTATGTTCTGTACATCTTTTCTATCTTGGTCTGCTCCCCCCCCCATCCAATTACAAGTTGGTGTAGTTCTCCCTGGGCAACTGATTACATGAAATATAAGCAGCCTCCTGTAATATTCCTCTTTCTTCTAACGGGAAAAATGTTGAGTACTTTAATGCTCATAAAAAATAAAAATAAAATCCAGCGTGCAATTCATGTGAAATCTAAGACTGGTAAGACTTCCCACTGAATGTGGGTATAATCTCACATTAAAAGAATCAGATCTGAGCATGGATGTGCAGCATCTCAATGCAGGGAAGTGAAGAACCAGCAGGTTTGACATGTGGGTTGTATCTCTAGCCATGGTGCACCTTTCATTCCTCCCTCCTTCCATTTTTCCCCTGCTATGGCTCGG